CTCATGTCAGGTCTGCAAATGAAAATAAATCTTTAGCAAATAGCAAAGGAAATGCCTTTATTATCTAAACTGTACAGTTTTGTAAAAATATGACTCAGCATGTCAGCAACTTTCTTAGACAAATAAATTGTACACTATTAAACTTACCAGTCAGCTTTTCTTATACAGTACAAGCTGAAGGATGTGAATCTTAGCACGTGTTTTCAAAGCATTTACTTGGAACAAACACACCAAGACTAATTAAGTCACTGCTTGCGAAAGATCTTCGCATGACGCGTGATTTCTTGACCGAGATAATTACCACTTAATTATCCCCAGGGTCAAAGTGTTTTTCAACGAAACCCGCATCTAATTTGTCCACGTTAATTCCTCAGGATAAAGAAACCTCTTCATCTGAAATAATTTCCTCAATTACGAAATTTTATTGAAGCTACGAATTTTTGATTTTGTTTTTCATAATTAATAAAAAATTAGAATTGGGTGAACATTTTAATTTACTTACAGTCTCACTCGGGTTTTTTTCGTTTAATTTCGATTTTTAATGCTATTTTATCGTATTTTGTTCTAAAAGCGTCGAGTGACTCGAGAATTTATTGCGGAAATTTCTGGAATTCGATAATTGACTTCTCTGATAAGTCCATTGTCCGAGGCAAACAGACACTCCCAGTGTAATTTTTCGGAAGTGTTTCCTTCTTATTTATTTATTTATTTATTTATCTCTCCCCAAGTTCCGTTTACCAGCAACGTGATGTGTCGAAACGTGGCCCAGTTTTTCCTTTTTCCGCTCTTGTTTTTCGTTTCCTGAAGCCAGAAAAGTCCCACGGATGAAACTTGTCAGGAAGTGGGTTGCCCAAGTCGAGCATGTGCCAAAAAAAAACTTTTATTTCTTATTTTTGTGAGTAATAATGGGGGAAAAAAGGAAGAAATTCCAACCGTCATGATAACAATTACGATGCGAATTTCCGAAGAGAAAATGAGAAATGACTTTTTTGTTGTGTTGGTGAAATACGTATGCATCAGTGTTCAGTGAAGAGCCGATGATTTCTCTTCCGTTGTGGTCATGGATGCTTGATATTGATCAGAAATGACAACAGTGAATTCCCCCCCCACAGTATTTTAGTGCTTTTGAAACATCCAGAAAAGAAGTGTGGCAAAGGAAATTCGAGTAAGTCGTTTCCGGTTACATGAGGAAGCATATCCGGGGCTGCGAGGATGAGATAATTTGGAGGAAAGTTGCAAATGAGTGACTTTAGGTTTGAAATTCGGTTGAGAGTTGGACCAGAAGCGACATCTGTGCAGCATGCTGCGACCCAGGTTAGAATACCCAAAAAGTTGGATCTTTGGGCGCTGCTTGAAACCCGTCCCCACAAGGAACCACCCTTGTTCCTCCCTACTCCAAATCCCGCTTCTCCCCCCCCCCCCTTTCCTTGGCCCTGCTGACAACAATGGGTGACTTCAAAGATGGTGATTAACTGCTCAATAGCAAAAGCCTAACCCATTACAAAATGTTCTTGATGGGGGAAGAATAAGTGACTCCCATGACGAAATAGCTTCATATTGTATGAATAAATGTCTTTTGGAATGCATGCAGGAATCTGTTAAAGTTTTTAGGTCCTACTTTTTTCATTTATTTTTAATTGAAAATATATTTACTGAGTAGGTTTCTTGCACCGAAAGTTTGTGGATTCACAAAAGAGTTTGAAATGAGTTTTCAGAAATACTCCCCTTCTATGATCCCAGTTCCATACTGAAAACTTGCTTAGATATGCATGTTTTTGAGGGCCATAATAAGGACTGTGTGGGTGGGTGTTTGTGTGTCTGGTGCAGATTTGATATTCTAAAATCAGAACTAAACAAGGTTTTGCAGGATACAATTTTGTGAAACTAAAATCATTTTGGATTTGACTTTTTTAGACTTTTTTTTATAGGGGAGGACTTTTTGTAATTTGTCTCATTAGGTTTTTTTTAGAAATGAAATTTTCCTCAAAATCCTCAATTCTTCAGCATTTTACAATGGGGCCCTGACAAACTGATGCCCCAACATTGCCTTGATACCTAGGCAATGTCTCGAAATATGAACACTTAACAAAATTTCTGAACAATTAAAAAATGTAATTTTTCAAAATTTTGATATTTCTGGAACAAATGGAGCTTTTTACAGTCACAAAATTGACCATGAATTCAATTTAGCTTTCACTATATCCAAAAGCACAGAATTTTGTGCTTTTTTCAGATTTCTTTCAATCATCACAGTATATAGAAGCATGCTTGCTTTTTTTTTGGTAATCCTTTCCATGCCACAAGATCAGATTTCTTTTGCACTGTTATTTTCTGTGCCTTGAAATCAAGAAAAAATGCTATCGAATTTTGTGTGTGGCTTTTTCCTAATTTTTCATCAACAGTGGGAGAATCAACTGAATATTCAGTATTCCCATTGATGTACAGTATAAGAATGATAAGCTCTCAAAGTTGTGGAATAGATGAGGGCGAGTGACACAAAGTGAAGGCACTCAGTTGTGTCTGTGTGTGTGTCTCTGTCCGTTAGTCTGCGTCCCTTTCCGCCTGAGTCCAGGGGCAGCCCACAGCGTATTTCCCCAGTCTGCGCCCAGCCGTTGCCGCGAACGGTCGATGATGGGAGTGGGAAAGCGTCCAAAATTATTATGTCTTTATATGTTCTGAAATTTTTGCAAAAACATTCAATTTGCACTATCGTGATTCCTGTGGTGAAGAAGAGGCGATGTTGAAATTCCTGATGCGTTCATCCACGAGTGACGAAAATTCAGATTATTTGAGCCTTGGAAAATGAATATCTTGACCCCTTTGGGGGGAATTATAAATGACTCCATTTACAAATTTTGTTATTTCTTTATTTGATTTCATGCTTTTGATATTCGTAGGAGACAGAAAATGGGACCTGTTTTGTTGCACAGCAGATATTTGTTGTCTCGGAATTGAAGGATGTATGTTTCTCAGTTTTTTGCACAATGCATTTCTCTAAGAAAAGTGAATTTCAGAGTTCTTCATGAGTTATTTTCAACAAATAAAATCATTTACAGCACTAAAAATGAGTCATAGATTTCGCATGGCTTTTAATCTGCTCTTGAATTGAGATGGATTATAAATCAATAGGACATAATGTAAATATCCATTTTTAATCCTCTATTCTGATTTAATTTACTATTAAACTAGTGTATGTGTTGAATTGACATGTGACAAATATTTGAAAGTTCATCCCATCACTACATGAGGTCGTTTGGATTCCAAAGTTTTAAAATATTGGCAAACTGTGGTCAATGGCAATTTTCTTTCCCTGCAGAAACCATGGTCCAGAGGGAAAGTGTTATGATGTGAGCAAGTTTTGTGTTGAATGTATAAGTTTTACCCTTAAAATGTAAGTTGATGAGTAAGATTTTGCTCATGTCAGGTCTGCAAATGAAAATGAATCCTTTGCAAATAGCAAAGGAAATGCCTTTGTATTATCTATACTGTACTGTATAGTTTTGGAAAAATCTGACTCAGCAACTTTCTTACCCAAATAAATTGTACACTATTAAACTTACCAGTCAGCTTTTCTTATACAGTACAAGCTGAAGGATGTGAATCTTAGCACGTGTTTTCAAAGCATTTACTTGGAACAAACACACCAAGACTAATTAAGTCACTGCTTGCGAAAGATCTTCGCATGACGCGTGATTTCTTGACCGAGATAATTACCACTTAATTATCCCCAGGGTCAAAGTGTTTTTCAATGAAATCCGCATCTAATTTGTCCACGTTAATTCCTCAGGATAAAGAAACCTCTTCATCTGAAATAATTTCATCAATTACGAAATTTTATTGAAGCTACGAAATTTTTTTTGTTTTTCATAATCAAGAAAAAAAATTATTGAAGTGGATGGACATTTTAATTTACTCACAGTCTCACTCGGGTTTTTTCGTTTAATTTCAATTTTTAATGGTATTTTATCGCACTGTACTTTGTTCTAAAAGCATCGAGTGACTCGAGAATTTATTGCGGAAATTTCTGGAATTCTATAATTGACTTCTCTGATAAGTCCATTGTCCGAGGCAAACAGACACTCCCAGTGTAATTTTTCGGAAGTGTTTCCTTCTTATTTATTTATTTATCTCTCCCCAAGTTCCGTTTACCAGCAACGTGATGTGTCGAAACGTGGCCCAGTTTTTCCTTTTTCCGCTCTTGTTTTTCGTTTCCTGAAGCCAGAAAAGTCCCACGGATGAATATCCGGGGCTGCGAGGATGAGATAATTTGGAGGAAAGTTGCAAATGAGTGACTTTAGGTTTGAAATTCGGTTGAGAGTTGGACCAGAAGCGACATCTGTGCAGCATGCTGCGACCCAGGTTAGAATGAGGAAGGCAAGGAGCAGTTTTTGACAGATACAGAAGTGAAATTATGTCCATTTTTTTCTAGAGCCCTGTGAGAAACCTAAAAGTCATACTGTGACATGACACTATTGAATGTACCATGTAGAATGAAGTGGGATTACAGTGAAGAATATTTGTCAGGATGAGACTGAATAAAGTTCAAGTTTTGAGAAGGTTGAATCACACATTTGGTAAATTTTGGATGGATGGATGTTACTATTGTACTTCTGATTAGATTGGAAAATTACCTGATATTTGTTTCAGGTTTGCAAATAGTCTTTAAATTCACCCCATAATGTTTCTAATTTTCAGATTCAAGAATTGGGGTTTATCAAGGACAATTTTGAGTTCAGATGGAAAACCTTGTTCCAATATCTCTTTCATTTGGAGACATTTCAAGATTGTAAATCTTTTGAGTTTTCATTTCAAGTTCCCTAACTGAAGAATGACACTAAATTTCACAATGAAAATATTGTATAAATTTTTGCTCAGAAATGATTGACTGCAGTTGAAAAAGTATTGTAGACTACATAGTTCTGATGGTCTCCAAAAATCAGCAGCATAATTGATAACAGCTTCACTCACAGTAATCCATTAATCTTACTCTTTTTATTTAGGCTCAAACCTTCCTGAACATGGGACTCAGAAGTCAGGCCAATCTTGCTGAAAATCTTTGGCTTCACTTCAAACGAGAATGTAGGTAAGTCTTTGGAAGTTATCCAAAGAGTATGATTACTCACTAAAAGAGATTATGTAAACTCATTCGAAAAACACTTTTTGGAGAACTTCACCAATAAACTAGACCTCAGACAGGGTTAAAGCATGAGGAAAATGGCAAATGCTTCCACTTGAGAGCTGCTGATCAGGATGATGGTGACAAAAATTGAATTTGAATTGTGAATGGTGAGCTTTCTTACTGGTCTATTAGATTATGTGCAATTAGAACAGAATTCAAACATGATTATTTCTATGGGGTTGAAAAAAAGTGATACAAATCAAAATTTTCAGTTGGGATTCATGTCCGATTCTTTTGCTATCAGAGAAGCTATGCTCATTGTAAAAAAAAATCAATAATGGACTATAAGTTGTACTTGGGTTGTCCTATTTTCACGCGTCTTGAAATTATCCACAGGGCTCAGTCAGTGAACAAATTTTCCCTTTGAACAGACTATTGTTTCAAGATCTTTTAAAATTTCCTTTTTTTTTAATTTTCAAAACATTCTACACAGATGGTCTGTTACCCGTTCACTTCAATGAGTTGTCGTAGACCCTAGTCCCTGTACGTGTAGGACAGTCGAGTCTGAGTACTAGTAGTGGGGGGAAGAAAAGACCACGAAATAGTGATCATCTTCTGCTCAATGTTCTCATCTCTCTAGTGTCTCCCTTGAGTCCCTTCTCATCCCAGCAACAGTATTTTTTCTCAAAGACCATTAATGCTGGCCTTGTGGGCCAAGCATGCAATTTTTGCTGACTAGAATTCTTTCTAGAAAATGTTTTTATGGACTAATCTCTCCTGGGTTTGGTTTTTTTCAATACAATTTGTGCAAAAAGGCTCAATCTTTGAACAGAAAGAAATATAGATGGTACATTGCAATTTGACCCTAATCCATTGCCAAACTAGGGTTGAATTGTGAGACTCTCTGTCAAATTTAAAATATTAGTAAAAAAGAAAGAAAAAGCAGGTTAAATTGTGGGGCAAGGGTTGAATTGCAAGTGAACCTCCCTGCAAATTCAACCATCACATTTCAAGCAGTCAAATTGCAATATACCATCTGTATTTTAATCAATCAAAATAATAAACCTGTCTGACAACATACATTCAGTATTTATGCATGCATTCCTCTTTTAAATAATGCCCACATGTTTGATGCCAATTGCATTGACCAACAAATAAAGCTGTAGTTCAGTATCAGTCAGCCATAAAATCACATTGCCATTATCCACAGTGCAACTAAAATTTGATCTGAAATTATGAAATTTCAATCAATGCGGATGATCAACTTCAATCCTTGGGGAAGATAATTAATTTTACCAAGAGAAATTTGTACAAAGCAGTTGGTGAGCATTCAATTTCAATAAAATACTTCAAACTGAAGGCATGTATATGCTTCAGTATCCAGATTGAAAATGAAACCTAGGATTTTTGGAGTGTCCATCCTTGAAAGACTTATGTGAAGCTTTTAGAAGCATGAACATTTATTTAGGAAAATGATACCTTTGCCAAGATTAAAAATGTTGGGCTGGATAGGATTGAGAAATAAATAGTTTTTTCTTCAATTTTTCACAACTATGTGGAAATTAGTACAGTTGGACCTTGCAAAGTCAAAATCCTCTCTACAGTAATTAAAAATTTTTGGATGATCATTGGTGGTTAATTTCCTGAAGTGCAATGCAATTTAAACCTCTTAAACTAAAAATTTCTTGGTTGAACCTTGATCAGTAAAATTTTTAAGGACTTTTTGTGATCAAAAAGAAATTAATTTTGGAACACCTTTTCAGGAAAACCTAAATAATGATGAAAATTGTTTTTATGACCTCCAAAAATGGGTTAGGTACCTTTTTGCAAATAGGAAATCTATGAAGAATCAGCAGCTGTAATGATTTGATTGGAAAATAATTTCCATTGATTTAAGCCAAAGACAATAACTTGAAAAAAGTATATTTTTATGAAGTCTATTCAAACTTGAATAAAAAAAGGTCACATGTCATTCCTAAAATTTCTTTTGTTTTTGGAAACAGGGATGAAAAGTGTCGGGATTTCTCAGTGAAAAAAAAAAAACGACGCGTTTCTCGAAATAAACCCGTGATATGGGGGAGTTGTTGGAGAATTATGGGCTCCAGACGGGCTCTGTGATGTTGTTGGAGCCAAGAGCTCTGCGGCCATTCAAGACCTCAGAAGAATACTTGTATGCCATGAAAGAAGACTTGGCAGAGTGGCTAAATGGCCTCTATTCTCTCAACATCACTGTGGACTGTTTCATGGACAAGCTGGAGACTGGTGTCGCCCTCTGTGAGGTAAATTTCCAAACTCAATCCGCACTCCCTCAACTAATAAAAAAAAAGAGACCGCAGCAAAAAAAAAAAAAGTTGCGAATATTTTGTTCTTTCTTGGAAATTCCTGGACGTTGAAAAAGATGCGAGAATTTGCAAGGGAAAATTCGGCAAAGTCTCGGAATCTCGGCCCGATATTTGCACAATTCCACCCTTTCTTGGCCAAACAAATATTGATCAACCTTGGGGTCAGAAGTTTTCGTCTCGGCCGAATTTTTCGC